AGACGCTCGTCGAGGGCGGTCCCCCTCCCCTCCCTCCTCCGTCCTCCGCCTCCGTCCTCCGCCTCCGCTCCTCCCCACCCCTTTGTTTCAATTGTGGTGCAGGCCAGCCGCAGGGCCAGTGGCGCAGCCGAGACGCTCGTCGAGGGCGGTCCCCCTCCCCTCCCTCCTCCGTCCTCTGCCTCCGTCCTCCGCCTCCGCTCCTCCCCTCCTCTTTGTTTCAAGTGTGGTGCAGGCCAGCCGCAGGGCCAGTGGCGCAGCCGTGACGCTCGTCGAGGGCGGTCCCCCTCCCCTCCCTCCTCCGGCCTCCGCCTCCTCCTCCCCCTCCTCCTCCTCCTCCTCCTCCTCTCTCCCCCCCGTGAGTTTCGTTGCTGGCGGCTCCGCGCGTCCGCTTTCTTTAGTCTGCATGGTGGCGTGCATGATGTTTTTTGTGTACCCAGGGTGGCGCTGCATAGGAGGAGTGGGTACTCCTGATTGCGCGCGCCATCTGCCCGCGGGCCCGTCGCTTCCGCGCGGGCGGCGCCAACGTCCCGCCAAACGCCATGTGCGCTTGCCGGGCGTTCCGCCCCGTCTTGCCCGGAATTCGCGGTTGGCCCCCGTGCGGGCGCGAGCGGACGCCCTTCCGTTTTGGCGCTGCTCCCCACCCCCAGTGCATTCGCCCAGGGGCCTCGTTCTTCCACTATTTCGTCGACGTACTTGATGACAATCTGTTGCAGTGATGCCGGCCGCACTGGTCCTGGCTCCTCTGCTCCGGCAGGAGGCGCTGTACAGTTAGGCTGTGTTGTTTCGTCTTCCTCCTTTCCCTCCTCGCTCGCTTTTGGGATTCCGGGTGGATCGAACCCGTATCCTACGCGTTGCCGGGCGGCGACAGCGGTTCTTCGATGGGTTTGGCTATAAACCCCCTTGAGGGGACGCGGATCACCTTTAGCACATGACTGGGTAGTTCGTATGTGTCGCCATTCTGCATCGTCTCTCCGAGGAGGCGGCGGCTGGTCGGAGTTTCAAGTCCGCAGTTTAATGGCAGGCGAGTCTCCCCGAACCCGGGGCCATTGCCAGTTTGTCCCCCTTCCCTATCCTCCCCTCGTCTCCTCGTCCCTCTTCCCCTGGGTCGGCGTTGAATCTGCAGGGTAATCCGCAGCGGCCGCTGGACTTCGCTCCATGGGCTCCCTTTCAAGGTCCGTGCGCGCTTCAATGGGTGCTGGCATAGCCCCCATGAGGGGAAGCGGACTCAATACGACCGAGCGTGCCTTTTTGTTTGGCCGTACTGTTTCGGAGCAGGGGCTGAAACTGGTGTGTGTTTGCGGGGGGAAAAAATTGTATGGGTAGTAGTAGTAGTAGTAGTAGTAGTAGTAGTAGTAGTAGTAGTAGTAGTAGTAGTAATAGTAGTAGTAGTAGTAGTAGTAGTAGTAGTAGTAGTAGTAGTAGTAGTAGTAGTAGTATAGTTGTAGTAGTAGTAGTAGTAGTAGTCGTAGTAGTAGTAGTAGTAGTAGTAGTAGTAGTCGAAGTATTTGTAATCGTCGTCGTCGTCGCCGTAGTAGTGGTAGTCGTGCATGTATAGTAGTAGTAGTAGTAGTAGTAGTAGTAGTAGTAGTAGTAGTAGTAGTAGTAGTAGTAGTAGTAGTTAGTAGTAGTAGTAGTAGTAGGGTGGTAGTAGTAGGGGTAGTAGTCGTAGTAGTTAGTAGTAGTAGTAGTAGTAGTAGTAGTAGTAGTAGTGTTAGTGTTAGTAGTAGTAGTAGTAGTAGTAGTAGTAGTAGTAGTAGTAGTAGTAGTAGTAGTAGTGGTCGAAGTATTTGTAATTGTCGTCGTCGTCGCCGTAGTAGTGGTAGTCGTACATGTATAGTAGTAGTAGTAGTACTAGTAGTAGTAGTAGTAGTAGTAGTAGTAGTAGTAGTAGTAGTAGTAGTAGGGTGGTAGTAGTAGGGGTAGTAGGAGTAGTCGTAGTAGTAGTAGTAGTAGTAGTAGTAGTAGTGGTAGTAGTAGTAGTCGTAGTAGTAGTAGTAGTAGTAGTAGTAGAAGTAGTAGTAGTAGTAGTAGTAGTAGTAGTAATAGTAATCGCAGTAGTAGCAGTGGTAGTGGCAGTAGTCGTAGGAGTCGGTAGTAGTAGTCGTACTTGTAATATTTGTCGTGGGCGTAGTAGTAGTAGTAGTAGTAGTAGTAGTAGTAGTAGTAGTAGTCGTAGTGGTGGTAGTAGTACTCGTAGTAGTAGCAGTAGTAGTAGTAGTAGTAGTAATAGTGGTAGTAGTAGTAGTAGTAGTAGTAGTAGTAGTACTAGTAGTAGTAGTAGTAGTAGTAGTAGTAGTAGTAGTAGTGGTAGTAGTGGTAGTAGTAGTAGTAGTAGTAGTAGCAGTGGTGGTAGTCGTAGTGGTAGTAGTAAAAGAAGTAGTAGCAGTAGTAGTAGTAGTAGTAGTAGTAGTGGTAGTACTAGTAGTAGTAGTAGTGTAGTAGTAGTAGTAGTAGTAGTAGTGGTAGTACTACTAGTAGTAGTAGTAGTACTAGAAGTCGCGCAGTAGTAGCATCAGAAGAAATATAAATTTAGTCGTAGTAGTAATATTAGTCACCCTGGCCGTGTTCAGTAGTAGTAGTAGTAGTAGTAGTAGTAGTTGTAGTAGTAGTAGTAGTAGTAGTAGTAGTAGTAGTAGTCGTAGGAGTAGTAGGAGTAGTAGCAGTAATAGTAGTAGTAGTAGTAGTAGTAGTAGTAGTAGTAGTAGTAGTAGTAGTAGTAGTAGTCGTAGGAGTAGTAGTAGTAGTAGTAGTAATTAGCAGTAGCAGTCGTAGTAGTAGCAGCACTCGTAGTAGTAGTAGTAGTAGTAGTAGTAGTAGTAGTAGTAGTAGTAGTAGTAGTGGTTTTGGTCGTGGTCGTGGTCGTGGTAGTGGTACTGGTAGTGGTAGTGGTAGTGGCCGTGGTGAGAGTAGGGTTTCGAAAGAGTAAGCGTGCGAGTACGATGACGACGACAGCAGTGGCCGCAACGGAGGAATATTTATGCATCCCCTTTTGTTTTTGGCCCCACTTCGTCAGCAAGCCGCGCAACAAAATGGCGCCACGGCCCTGGTTTCGTCGCGGAGACCTGGTGAGAATGCGTTCCAAGAGAGGTGTGGGGAATACAGGAGATTCTCGTCGTGTCGACCAGTGTTTGCCTCACTGCCGCCTTTAACCGTTGATTGCCTCTGACGCCCTTGAATATGTCGATTTTGAATGTTTGAATTGTCGTGCCTCAACGTCGATTTTGAATGGACTGACGTCTCGGAGACGGCAGATCGTCCAAGGTTGAACGAGCCCCGCGGTGTCAGGAGCGGGTGCCGCAGTCGGCACCACACGAACCGGCCGTAGGCGGTTCCCCGCGTTCGTGAACAAGCTGGGTGGGGGGTGATGCCCCCCGACAGATGTCACTGGTCCGCAACATGCCCTTACCCTGGGTCAGCCAGGGTGAGACGGGCCGCGTGAGGGATTGGGCGATTGCCCTTGGGCCCGATCAGCTTGCCCCGCGCGCCAGTGTCAGTGCAGCATCGGCACGTCAAGACGCAACGGCGCGTTCAATGGTTGGCCGTCCGGTTGCAGCGACAAGCGCTGATTTCTGTGGGGGGTCTCTGGGGGCATCGTGGTGTGCGTGTGCGGCTCGAAGCTGCATGGGAGTGGTGGTGCCTGTCCCATTTGAATCAAGAGGAAAAAAACACAGACACAAGTAATCGTCGATTCCCAAGAAAATATAGGAAAATATGGGAAGTGTGGGGGGGAAGGCAAACAACCAAGAAGATATGGGAAAATATGGGGAATCCTGTTGTGTGTATTTATTTGTGTGTCCCGGGGCCCCTTCATTAGAAAAAATCTCTCCCCGCTATCCTGGCAACCGATGCGCCTGGGCTTGCCCTGAGGAGCGACGTTGCAACGTCGCACGCCCCCCAGGGGGCTGCGGCGGCCGCGTCGGGGACGGCTCTGGGGGGCATGAAATGTGCTCGAGAGCGTTTTGGGCGCGCCGCCACCTCGGCTGGGCGCGGGCATGTGCCTGAACTAGCACACGTGCCCAGACCTACAGTCGGCCCGGATTAATAGGTCGACCCTGCCAGCTCAAGGGTACCCTTGTGTCCTGTGCCTCGCGACACGTGCCTCCTTACACTCCTTTGGCGATGTGGCCCTCGGCAGGGTCTTGTGTCCTCTCGCGTGTCCTGTCCAATCAAGGTCGACTGTAGCTGGGGTGGCTCTCGGACGCCTCGGCTAGGTACGAGTCTGCCTCTGGGCTGTCATGATGTGCCCGGACCTGGCCAGGGCGATTCTCGGAGGGCCGTCCACGAGGGGCGGCCTCTGGCGACCTCGCCCAGCATTTTCGGAGTCGCGAGGCTTCTGCTCCGAGCAGTTCGCGATTGGGCGGTCGTCGCGCATTGACGTTCGCGCCGGAATTGCCCGCGTGCGCCCCGGGCCCCAGGGTGCGCGTTGACCCCGCAACGCCGGGCGATGTGCCTCTGGAGGCGCACCTCCGAGTTTGCTGATCTAGTTCGACAGCGACCAGCGCGCGGTCCTGTCCGTTCCGTGCCTGCGCCGTGCCCCCTTCCTCGCCCTCTCCCCTCGTCTTTGAGTGTGCTGCTGTCTTCCTCCTTCTCCTCCTCAGCCTCCGCCCCTCTTCCCCCCCTCCTCCTCCCGCTCGACATCCTCCTCCTCCCCCTCCTCCTCCTCCTGCTCCATTTGTCGTGTCTTTCCCTTTCTCTCGCGCCTCCCAGCTTCTCCGGCCTCTGGCCCCTCGGGGCCCCAGAGGAGGCCAGAATGGTCTGCCAGCGCAGGGTTCGGAATCTCTTCCTCCTCCCTCCTCTCCCTCCTCTCCCCCTCCCCTTCCTCCCCTTCCTCTTGCTCCTCCTCCTCCTCCCCCTGCGCCTCCTCCTCTTCCTACTTCTCGTCCCCCTGCCTCCTGGTCCTCTCCCCTCCCCCTCGCCCCCATGGGCCTCCCTCCCCGTCCCCCCCCCCCCCCCGCGGCCGGCGAGCTCCCGCGGGCGCCGCGCGCGGTGCCGGCGCCGAGGCCGCACAGGACGCCAGAGTGGTCCGCCGGCGCGGGCCTGCACGGGACCGGGGAGTGCCGGCCGTGCGCGTGGTTCTGGAAGCCGCAGGGCTGCGCCCACGCGCGCGAGTGCAACTATTGCCACATGCGGGGGGCCCGGCGCGTCGGAGGGCGGGCGCGGTTCTGTGCTCTCTACCCTCGTCGATCGGATCGGAGGATTGTGCCGCCTCGCCGATGCATCGGCGATGCGTCGGCGATAAATCGGCGATGCATCGGCGATGCGGCTCGATATGGGGCTCAATTTTCTCCACGCAGACGTCGCCGATGCATTGCCGACGTCGCCAGTGCATCGCCGGTGCATCGCCGATGCATCACCGATGTATCGGCGATGCGGCGCGATCCTCTGAGCCCATCTGCTCCGACCCTGTCTAGGAGCCCTCTACACGCGTCGATCCTGGCCGGGGTCGGCCCTAAGCCAGGATCGGTGTGATTGTGTGTTTGTGCGTGTGTGCGTGTGTGCGTATGTGCGTGGGTCCGTGGGTGCGTGTGTGTGTGTGCGTGTGTGTGTGTGTGTGCGTGTGTGTGTGTGTGTGTGTGCGTGTGTGTGTGTGTGTGTGTGTGTGTGTGTGTGTGCGTGCGTGTGTGTGTGTGTGTGTGTGTGCGCGTGTGTGCCTCCTCCCGTTTTCACCTCCTTACCGCTCATCTATCCTCATTCCCCGTCCTCACCTTCTTCTTCCTCACCCTTCCAACTCTCCCTCTCCCTCTACTTCCCTTCCTCTCCCTTTCCCTCTCCTTATCCTTTTTTTTGTGGTTGTTTTTTTGTTATATATATATATATATGTAAATATCAAGATATAAGATGCACGCGCATATCGGTCCCCCTGCTTTTCTTGCCCCACAGACTGGCGGCGCCCGTCTTCTCTTCTCCTCATCTGTTCACCTCATACTTCACTCTCCCTCTCTCTCTCATTATTTCCCTTTATTTCCCTCTCGCTCTCCCTCTCACTCTTCCTCTCTCTATTTCTCTCCCTTTCCTCCTCCTGTGTCCTCATCTTCCACATATTCCTCCTCCTCCTCCAATTGGGGTCTGGCAAACATATAGCAACCAAAGGAACAACCAACCAACACAAGCAAATCAAAAGACCACAGGCTGAGAATAAGAACAACGACAGGAACAAACAAGCAACACACACAAAGCTACTTCCCCTGGCTGGCCGTGGGTGTGAACGAAGTATTGCCATTTGCTCGTCTTAGTTTGTGCTTTCTCCCTCGGTTGTTTGGTTTTCCAGCCGTCGGTCTTCTCGGGCCGGGCGAAAGGGGGGGATTGGGAAAGGGGGGGTTACGAAATTTGCTGCATGCAGCTGGTTTCGGCCTCACCGAGGGGCCCATTCCTCGATACATGGGCGCCTCCCGGCGCCAGGAGGCGCCGGGAAAATCAGCTACGTGAGCTGATTCTCAAACCCCCCCTTTGCTATCCCCACCTTTCGCCCGACCCGATCTTCGATGTATGTGTCGGCTTATTGCCCGCAGTTGTTCTGTTGCCATTCCTTGCCCCCCTCCCTCCCCCGGGGCAGCGGGCGGCGGTGGAGAGGAGCTGGAGGAGGCCTGGGGCGGAGGTTTCGGGAGCGGCGGCGGGGGGGGCAGGAGGAGAGGAGGAGGATGAGGAGGAGCAGGAGGAGGAGGAGGAGGAGGAGGAGGATGAAGAGGAGGAGGAGGAGGAGGAGGAGGATGAAGAGGAGGAGGAGGCTGCCCTGCCTGCCATTTGCCCAGGGTATCGGCACAACGCGGACCACTTGGGCGCGCCCGACCCAGACCCAGACCCAGGAGGACCAGTGTGAACCCAAGACCCATCAGCGAAGTTGGAATACACCCTCCCCCCCAGCTTCTTCTTCGGAGGCCCCTATGACTATACATCTCTGGTGAAATCTGGTGGTGTCGCAAGTGTGGGGCTTACAGCAGTGCGAAGA